AGGTAGACAGCCAGAACTTTCTGTTCTGAAGGAATATTAGGGAATGAAAAGGCACATTGCTACCAACAAAAACCAGGCTGGCCCCTGTACTGTTCATCTATGACAACATATGGCCCCACAAACCTCTGACCAATCATTTGTCTCCAATTTGGGAATCAGGGCCAATATGACCATCAGAGGGGCTATGTTGGGGACAAAACTGACTATTTCTGTGACATAGAACATGATATTAAGTGCAACACTCCCTGTCTCACAAAAACACAGATAGATGCACAGAATAGACAAGCCCTTCCCCACCCAGGCCTGAGTCTCACTCATCCTTTGAACAATGACCATGACTTTGGTCTCCATCCACTCAGCTGGTTTCCCACTATGGCCAAGATACAGAGAAGTGTAGATGTCTATTGGAAGTGTAGTTTCCCCAAATAATTAGTTTGATCTTAAATCCAAAGTCTTGACACTTCCATAAACTGCTTTGCAGAAACTAGTTCACAGATTCCAGGATGGAAGGACTCCAGAGAGCCTGGCTACATACCAACACGCTCTTCCCTCCATTAGTGTATCAGAAGGGAAACCTGGGTTCTTACTTTCCTCTCAGAACTTGACATTAAGTTAAGACAAACAATTATGAGCCCAACATATGAAGTCCTCAGGATTAGAAGGGCTGATGTGCCCAGAAAAAAAATGTGTTTGATACAAGATCTCCCAATACCCCATGCCATTAGGCAGTACTCCAATCTCTCTTAGATGTTATAAGGACATAATCCACCTCATTCCCACAACCAAGGAGACATGTTCATGAGCCTCCCAATTATGATCACAATTAAACACTGTACAGCACAACACAGGCACATGTTTGTCATTGAAGAGATAAATTCTGGGTTGGAATGACAATTTTATGCAAAGACAAGTCATTGAAAGAGATCAGAATCTAGGAGGGTACTGTGCTGCCTACAATCCCAGTGGCTCAGGAGACTGAGGCAGGAGGATTGTGAGTTCACAGTCAGCTTCAGCAAAAGAAATATGCTAAGCAACTCAGTGAGACCCTGTCTCTAAATAAAATACATAATAGGGCTGGGGATGTGGCTCAGTGGTTGAGTGTCCCTAATTTTAATCCAAAGTTCTGAGAGAGAGAGAGAGAGAGAGAGAGAGAGAGAGAGAGAGAGAGAGAGAGAGAGAGATATCAGAAGCTAGAATAGGTGTATGACCATGGGATTTGCAAAGTCATATTTAGATTTTTCCTGCATATAAAAATGTCTTCGGAAACCTCTAATAATATTATATCCAGGCTGGATTCTTCATACATCCTAGGAGACATGATTTTGTAAGGTTACCATCAGATCTTTAAGATCATATAGATATGCCACTACAGACATTTTTAAAAAGCAAAATAAGTCTCTACGTACACCTTCCAGATTTGCATATGGACTAATGTCTAATTTGTGGAAGTTCTGGACCATACAGGAAAAAACAAACTACAAATAATTTACTGCACAAAACACCACTGACTATTAAATTTACCTACAATGGTGATAGATCCCTATTTGACATTAGATGATGTTTGTATCAAATATAGAGCCTAAATGATAATTCAGGGAAATGTTTCAGTAAATATCCATGAAATGACTGCTGTAGTTGCTTCTATTCTGGATATTTGGTCTTTGGGAATGGTACAGGAAGATGGATGCACTTCATATAGTCTGTCCAGGCCCATGTGATGGGTAGCAGCATCCCCTACATGCAACTGTCAGAAGATGCAGCTTCAGGATCCTATTATTTTGGCTGAGGATATTACCACAATCTTGCACAGCCCAGGATGACCCTAGAACATCCAGGGAACATAATTATTGGGAGTCTAGATGCTTTTACCCTTCTCATCTCTTCCCTGAGTGACATTGGAATTTTTTTTCTTTTCTATGAAGTACACTCCCCATACTCCATGCTCTCAGGTCAGGGAATGTGTGGCTTGTCAAGGAAAACATTATTGTGTCACTCACCAGACACCAGAAGACACTCAACACCTGCTCCAGGAGAGGAGGCACAGGCTCTAGCCTAAGTTCTCACCTGGCTGCATGGTGAGCACAGGGTAGAGGAGAGGAACAAGCAACTACCCTCTAGTTATATCAAGTCCCAGGTAAGCAGGGAAGTGACTGGGGAAACTACTGTGTCCTGTCTCTTCCTGCACTTGAGGTTCATAATATGCTTCTCAGATGTCATCCAACTGAGTTTATTACCTAGAAATTTCCTCATCAACAGCTCTGAATGCATTTGCCCTGCAATCAAAATCCTCCTTAGGAGTTAATAGTATCTTGGACTAAACAGGTTATAGTTTTGGTCCCCTCACATTTTCACTTTCTTCTCCCATCATCACACATCTTGTCTCTTCCCCCACTTCATGGACTCTGCTGTCCCCACACATGTTCTGTGATTTCTCATCAGTCCTGAGGTAAACTCCAGTGACACATCTGTAGATGGAGTCCCAGGCTCAGGTTATGACCCAGGCTGACTGTCCTGCTCTCTCTAATCACTGTGTTAATTATCTTCATAGCATTACCCCTGCTTGTTTCTTTCACTAACATTATTGTAGTGAATTGATTTATTTGTGCTAATTATTTTCCTAGTGGGTCATGGGATTTTTTTAAATGCAAGAATACATGTATGAAAACAGACTCATAAGCACATGGAGGCTAATTTTGTTTTTTACTTCCAAAAAAACAAAGCTCTTAGAAATAAATACTTACCTTATGAAAAAAAAATGGAGGTAAAATGTTTTCTGGATTCCTTACTCACCTATTCATTGTTGGTCCTGGGGCCTTTTTCAGATTCTCTTTCACCATCCTTACCATCTGAGCCTTCCAATTTTGTTTTAACTTGAGACCCCAGGATTGGTCTTGCAGCTCCAGCCATCCCACCTGTAGTTAAGGAGCCAAATGACACAAAAACCAATATATTTCTCTTCCTCACAAGTGCTGACTTGCACTGACAAGAAACTCTGGTCAACTGAATGTTCCATGTCATGGTTGTGTGCTATAATGTTACTAACAATATTAGTGAAATTACCATGCAGGGGTAATGATATGCAGATAATTAACATAGTGATTAGAGAGTGACATGCAGGCTGGGATATAACCTATGGCTGGGACTCTCCCTGCAGATGTGTCACTGGAGCTGCAGTCAGGACTAGTGAGAAATCACAGCACATGTGTGGGGACACCAAAGTATATGAAGTGGGGAAAGAGACTGGGTTTGTGATGATGGGAGAAGAAAGTGGCATTGTGAGGGGACCAACACAATGGTCAATGCTGCCTGCTTATCTTGGAAAAAGTGTCTGGATCTTCAAGAAAGAGAGGAGACCAAGCACAGGCTCTGGTGGGTGGGACAGACTATTAGACTGCACACTAGATGTGTCCAAAGCACAGCCTCAGCCAGAAGATGGAAACTCCTAGAGCAAAAGATGCATCATGTTCCTGCTGAATTCCCATCATGGAAGCAGGAGGAGACCATAGTGGGTCTGAAAAAGCATTGGTGTGAAGGGGCTCCTTTCTGTGTCTGTGCTTCTTATCACTCACTCACATTGACTCTGCACCTGCAACTGACACTAGGAAGAACCAGTTCCTGAGTCCAGTTTCACCCAGCACCAGGACCAGGAACCACTTCCATGAGCACTCATCATGTAAAAATCATGCAGAGATAACTCAGGTGGGTTCTGACTTTCCTCTACCAAATGCACCTGTTCATATTTTTCTGTGTAATGTGAGCCTTTCCTTCCTGGTCGTGAGAATGGTAACATCCATAGTAATAAGATGAATTTTCTCCCTTAGCCAAAGGTCGAGAAAACCTGGGCCTGAGGGGCAGGTTCTCAATCTGCACCTGGACCAAGGATGCCCTGACATACAGCAGGCAGTTTAGAGTGGCCACTAGAGGGCAGTTGAGAACCACCAAAGGAAGCCCCCTATGTATGGGCTGGGCTTGGACTTCAGGATTCAAACACACAGGAGGGTTACTAGTGACTACCCCAGATATCTAGAGAAAAAGGTGTCATTTTTCTACAATGTCGTCTTTGAAACAAGTTCAATTTTTTTTTGTTCTTCATTTCTCTCATATCTAGCTCTTCTAGAATTTTATTATTTGTTAGGTGTTTGCACAGAAAATCTTCCTGCTTTTCCTGACACCTCTTCACACCCAGCTCATCTCATTGATCTAAACTCTGGATCTGTCACACATTTCCCAAACACCAGCTCTCACCCTGGAAAGGAGATTTCACATGCAGGAAGATTAGTGACCATGACATGAGACCTGGAGGAAATGCTGAATTTTTCTCCAAGTATGGGGAATAACAATGATGTAAATATTCTTTGATGCCTGTGTCTCCTTGATCTGATCTTTGAAGAATGTCCCTGTTGATATGACAGAGGTCCAGTATTCCCCAGGCTACCATTCATGCTGAAGCTCTGTACTTCTTAGTATTGCAGGATAGGTATAGAACCTGCCTATAGCCATAAGGAGATGTGAGGCAGAGAACCCAAATCTGAATGTGACATTCACACCAAGGACAGAGAGATATAGCAACCCATTGGACCTTTAAGATACCAGGTACACTTATGGAAGAATTTGGTTGACCCACACAGCCTAGGAGCTTTATCTGGGATAGGATCCCATAGCTGATGAAACCTTGTATTGTCAATCTAACAGTTGATTTTGATGACAAAGACAGACTCAACATTACATAACCAGGCCAGCCCAGATTCCTGGCTAGAAAAAGACCTGGGATAGAGACATGGCCATGAAATTGGGAACATAAAGGAGCATTCTGTGAGCTGGTGGTAATTCTTCAGAGTTGCCCCTCCCACTCTTTGACTCCCTAGGGATGAGCCCTTCTCTGGACATCACACAGCTTCCTCCAGTAGCAGACCCAAGCTGGCCTGATTTGCATAACAGGCAGCTGTCCCCAACAAGGAAATAAGAGAGGCCAGGGTGAACACAGATCAGCCTGGGACTCCAGAAGCAGCTACAGGGACAACATGACTTGGAAGGCCCTTCTCATAAGCCTCCTGGCTCATTACACAGGTGCTGCCCCCAGGCCCCAACATACACCCCAGCCCAAGGCTCCTGTATAGCTAACCTGGCCTTAATTCTGAGCTCAACAGGGCTATGTCTTTGGTGGGCAGGATGGTGCTCAGGACATGCTGCAGGAGAGACTGTAGGCTGAAATTCCAACTCTGTGCTCTCTGGCTTGTGTGAGCCTGAGGAGGAAAGGGGTTGGGCTTGCTCATGGGTTCAAATCTGCATTCTCCAATAAGGCTCATGGCCACTATGGCTGATTTTGATGCCAGGGAATGTCCTTGGTTCTATAGATTTCCTGAAGCTCTTACAGGCTAGGGGGAAACTGGTCACCTCATGGGAAGTGTCTGTCACCATTAGTCCTCACTTTCCTTTTATTTCCCTATAGGCTCTGTAGCTTCTTATGTGCTGACTCAGCAATCGTCAGTATCTGTGACCCCAGGACAAATGGCCAGAATCACCTGTGGAGGTAACAGTATTGGCAGCTATAACGTGCACTGGTACCAGCAGAAGCCAGCACAGGCCCCTCTGCTTGTCATCTACTATGATAGCACCTGGCCCTCAGGGATCTCTGGCTCCAATTCTAGGAACACAGCCACCCTGACCATCGGAGGGGCCCAGGCTGGAGACGAGGCTGACTATTACTGTCAGGTGTGGGATATTAGTGCTGCTCACAGTGACATATCCAGACAGGGAAGTGAGAAAAAAAACCTGCCACCAGCCTGGCACCAAAGGCCTCTTTCTGCTCTGACACCCTGATAGCAGAGAGCATGCCACATGCTGTGGAGTAAGGGTACTTCCATCCCTGTCTAGATATTCCTGAGAGATGAAGGGAAGACGCCTGCACCTCCCCAGGATGAGTTGATTCCACTGGAACCTGAGCATGTCATTCTTATTGACTTGATCTGCCAGTCCCATAGGCCACAGCAAGTTATCAATTATACAAAACTGAATCTTAGTATTAGGAGAATTTCACTGTGGCAGGGTCTTATTTATAGTTACGAAGAGGAAGGTTGGGTTATGATTCTAAGTTTGGAAGATGTGTCCTGGGGAGGTTCAAAGCACATTTGCCAAGGAGGATTTTGATGTGTATTCATGTAACTAGTGTTATACTAGGTAGGGTTGGTACAAATTAGACTTGGGGGATTTTGCTTTGGGTGTTAATTATTGAACTTCTATTTGATATGGTAGCTGTTTGTTCAGGTAAGAACTATTTCTTCAGTGAACCCAGCTGTTTACCTGGGAAATCAGTTTTCAGGAATGTCCCAAAGCAAAATATTGTAGTTTACTCCCTCATCCTCCTAAGCACAAATGTCTTGTGTCCAACAGTGAAATTGACACTGGTTACCTTAGTCCTCAGCTCCAACAAACACTCTGCGAGATGAAAAGGACCAGTTGAGAGGAGAGCATGTGATAGTCCCATTAAAAAACAGACACACATGTCTTCAGGTATAGGGTAGGGAGGTATCGGGTCAACCATCTCAGTCCTGTAGGACTTGTCTCCACTGGGATAGAAATGAATATGTGAGAGTTCCCCAGTTGTGTCTTTCAGAGGGTTCCAGTTGTAGGAAATGTCCTTGACTGCCTGGGCTACTCTGAGGTCTAGCAGAGAGGAAAACCTGGCCATGCCTGCTCCAGTTCCTTTCCAACAGTGTCTTCAGGATCCTCCATCCCTCCGAAGCACCCCCTCATCATGCCTGCCTTTAATCCATGATCTTTCCTCCCTCTGTCCCCTGCTCCAAGGCTTTCCTTCTGTAAGCCCAAGGTCCCACTTCTACTACATGTCAGATTCTGCCTAGTCCAGACCCAGGGACATAGCCAGAAGCTTCTGTCCCCATCAGCTTGAGAGAAGCCTTAGGGCACCATAGCAAACAACCATGGGATGATCAGCCTCATTCACAACTAAGTAGGTGCCAGAGGACTGGCCTTAATTCACTGAAATCCACTCACTGGCTTAAGAAGCAGCCCAGTAAAACCTCCAGGAATCCCAAATCCATTCCAGTTTCTGATGGAATCTGAGGTCATCTTGGATGCCTCCTGCTGGCCACACTTCACTCCACCCAAACCTCCTACAATACTAAAGGTCCTCATTATCTGTGAATATTGAACCCTTTATCCTACTTATTACTCATGTGAACTTAAGAATTGAGTGTATCAAAAAACACAACACTTTGGTCATACAGGTGATTCTGCAACCTGTACAATCAGAAAAATGAGAAATTATACCCCATTTGATTCAAATCTATGAATTGTCAAGATCATTGTACTGTCATGTGTAACTAATAAAAAATAAAAATAAAAACAAAACACAACACCCATTTTTACATCAAAAGATGACTTTCTTCATTGCTTTAATCCATGTATGCCTGCAAAAAAAGTCTAATTTCACAAGAATAGATGCACTGACTTAAAATGTAGGGAGTGTTTCATATGAAGAATCTGATATTTGATGTTCCTTTGCTGAGTATTCTTCATAGAAACACTCTTTCTGCTTCTTATTGTCACATCCTCAAAGGTCAGGCCCTCTGTAAGGCCAGAACAAAGTGTACCTCAGTACCTTCCTGGTGTGGTGCTAGAGTCATTGGCTCCTTCTGGACAAGCTATGAAGCTGAAGTGAGTTGGGAAGGGGCCTCTTCCTCCTACTTAGGGGACGTAGTGGTGCCAGACATGGGGCCTGGAAGATCTATTCACTCCAACCATTTCCCACTAGGCTGGACCCCTCTAAACTGCTTTGGAATCATCTGGAACTGCACCAACTTTAGTACCACTCACTGATCCATGAATTTCACCTGTCTGTTTCGAGATCAAGATCCCTGCTCAGCTATGGGCTCAAGAGGCTGAGCTCTAAGGCATCTCTGGCATGGTCTGGAATCCTCTGCTGCTCCTACTACAAATGTGACAAGCCAAGACCCTGTCCCTAGACTCATTCCCACAGGATTCTGAGCCTGTCCTGACCCTGATCTCAAAGCATGGAAGCAAGTAGTGGTGGGCATCTTAGAATGAGATTTCTGTCTCCTGAAACTACATTTTCTGGGTTCTTATGAGAATCAGATTACCCCGGAAGAGGTGGCCATGAGAACCATGTCAGCCACTATTCATGAAAGAGGGGAGAAGACAAGATAACATAGAGAATCAGCAGGAGCTGGATCAGCCATGCCCAGCATAGCAGCTTTCTCATTTCCCATGTTTGACAATTGTAATCTGGGGACAGACACACGGACACCATCACCTGCAGGCTGATTTAGGCTCGTGGTGCTGGCCAGGCCATGGAGGAGTGAGCATTGAGCTGTGTGGGACACAAAGTTTGCCTCCTAGATTGGCCTTCATGCCCTCACCTCTCCCCAGGTGACCTGGCCAAATTCTCCTCCATAGAGACCCAGACCTAAGTGTAGGATATCTGGGTCATTTTACACAACTTTAAAATACTCTTCTCTGTTGTCCTAGCAATTAAGTCTTCCTGGATCTCAACTATATCTACTTTGAAATGGGAAGACTTGAATGGAGCTTTATTTTTTATCCAAATTAAATGACACAATAACAAAAAGTGTCTCATTAATTAAAAGAGACCCAGCCTGGATTTCATGGAGGGACACTATCCTTGGATTACTGTTCTTCAGGGCAAATGATTCTTTGGAAATATGGAAAATCTTCAAATATTCATTTTTCTGGGTGGTGGGAGCAGGCTTCTTGTGCAGAGAACAGAAAAGGAAGTTCCCAGTTAGAAAGTGAAGGCATACAGGGCTGATGAGCAAGTCCTCCAAATTGCACTGTAAAAGTGGTTCATGTAATAATAGTTTTAACAGAGGTGATAATGAGGAGGAGAAGGAGAAAGATGTTGATGGTGTTGGTGATATAAACATAGTTGGGCTGTGGTGCTAGAGCATCAGGAGTTCTGATGACATTGCTACTATTGCTATCAGATCAGGGAAAAGCATCAGTCTTGATTCTTATGTGTAATATAAAGGCACTAAATGCCCCTGAAGTGTGTCACAGAAGTTTCTCTGGAAAGGGCACTTTACAGAACATCTACAAGTTTATTCTGTAAGCTCTATTTTCCTATCACAATACAAGGCCCAGAGACAGCTTTTCATACTGTGACTCAGTTACAGGAATACACCAGCCTACCTCCCTGCACAACACAAATGCTGCCTATCTGTGCTGTGCTGTGCTGAGCAGGGTACAGCTGGCTCAGAGTGAGGCAACACTCTGTCCACAAAATTGCAGGTGACAGAGGCTTTTGGTGTCATCTGGAGAGAAGCATCATTTCTTGGTCTCCTCTACCAACAGATGGCAGCAAAGGTGCAGCTAAGACAGAGGCTAGAACTGTCCAGAAGACACCAAGAGGGAGGCCAGCATGGGGATCCAGGAGAGGAAAGCAATGATCAGGCATTGATTTGGAAGTCAGGAGAGTCCATCCTATGCCCTGGGCTACTATGACCACAGTCTGAGGGTTAGAATCTCATTTAAATGAGCCCAGGATAGAGTACAGAACTCATCTGAGTAAGGAAGTGGAGGAATTTGTCCCTAGGTATCAGCCATTAGGGCCAAAAATCACTAAAGAGACCAAGATGAGATCCAGGTACCTCAGAAGGGAGCTCAGTGTAAACATGGGGCTTCTACACCCATGTCCTTCCTTCCATATGGCTCCATGGGTTCCCTGCCTAATCTTATGGTGACAAAGTTCACTATCCATATGTTGTCATAGGTATTACCTACCCCTCCATGCTGGGAACTTTCAGAGATGCCTTCTGACTCATCCTTGGCCTCTCCTCCCATGTCCACTCACATTATCCTTTAAGGCTCTGTGATCATGTTCAGGTACATGTGCGGAAAGGAACACTTGGACTCCTTCCTTGGATGGAGCATGAACAACCTCTTTGAGAAGACTCTGCAGAATTCTATGGAATCTCATGTGCCTTGGGGCCTTAGGTATGACCCTTTGGATAAGTGAAAGGATCCTCTTTGCTGGAGGGACCCTTATCCACTCACCCTCCAGAGATCATCCATGTATAACTGTGACTCCCACAACCTTTAAAGACACCCTGGGGATTTCAGTTTTTTTCTCAAACAGTTCTGGCTTCTGGAACTGGTAACAAGGTTAGGTAAATCATTTTTCAAAGAGAAAAAAGTAAGAATAATTTTTTGATGCCAGTTGCTAGTCTATTGTGGAAGGGGGCTGTCATAGGAAAGAGAGAATACCATGTTGAAATGAGACTGTAACTTTGTGATAAGTCCACATATTCAGATGGTTCTTAACCAAACACAATGTGTTATATGAAATTATTTAGCAAGATTTCTAATAACAAAGTGCCGTATTCTAATGAAATGACCAGGAATGAGCCAAACAGTGTCTAGAGTCAAAGAGAGGAGAGGAGGGGGAAGTCATGGATCAGTGGTTGACCTTCTGCTGTCATGTGGCCTCAACAGCCTAAGAGGGTTCCAGATCAGCCCATGTCCAGGATCCTGGAAAGCAAATAGCCCTGCTTAGCTGGGACCAGACAAACCATAGCACAAAGAAAATAGGAAGATAGTTACTGGTCAAAATATGGAAGGTTACTGTGTTAGGTGGCCTTGGTGTGTAAGGCTGAATTTCTGCCATGAACATCTGGGGGGGGAGTTGGGGCTCTCTTTCTTCTTTATTCTTCTGTACTACCCAAATAGCTGGTTAGAATTTTAACCACAAACACTCAGTGAAGAAAGAATTTTCATAATAACCAAACACTTACTCTACCAAAGGACCTCAGAGAGACCTTGGTGAGATCAGCTGGCTGTAGATTTCAAAACACAAAGATTTGGGACATTACATACATCTAAATCCCACTCTTTTTTACCTTCTCTGTATAAGGGATCTGCCTGTATCTTGTTCCTAGGAGCAGCCCTCAAAATGCACTAAGCTGAGTCTGATTCAAATACTATGCTCAACCCAGACATAGTCTAAGTGGGGCTACTTAGAATGGATCCTTCATCCCGAGGCCCTCTCTCCTCTCTTGCAGGATCTTTGGCCTCCTAAGAGCTCACATAAATGTCTTCAGTTTCAGTGGTCCTGGAACAGACAGCCATAATTCCCTTCTCTGGAGATGCACTGCCCAAAGAATACATTCATTGGAACCAGCTTAAGCCAGATCAGACCCAAGCTTAAATGATATACAGAGTGAGCAGCCCTCAGAGATACCTGAGAGATAGGTTGACTGTAAGTAGGGGACAATAGCCACCCTGTCTGTCAACACAGCAGAAGCCAAGGATGTGGCTATTATTGTTAGTCATGGGACAGCAGTGGTACACATCTCAAAGACACACACAGGTGGGAAGTAAGATACAAATTCCTTCCCTGTCAGTGTCAATTTCTTCCAGCACCAGAAGGACTAGAAACAAAGTCTGGCTCATCTCACACAGATTGGACGAAAGTTCTTAAAGCATTTGTAATTGTGTTTCTAGTCTTTCAGAGCTAAGGTCATCCTCCCAGACCTAGGTTCTCACAGATAGCATTAACCAAGAGAGGCAGCTAGAGAAGTATTGACACTCATCACAGAGTTGGCCTAATTCTACAGGGAGTCATCCCGTTTGTGTTACTGAGAACCAGGGCCAGGAACCTGACACATAAAACCCTCTAAGCAGAACAGTCAGCTGTTAGGATGACTTTTCATTTGACTAATACACAGACTCCTCATAGTTCCAGAAGTTCTTCTTGGTAAGATGCCATGAAAGAAGCAGAGAAAATATCCCTTTCCCTGCCACAGAACTGAGGGAGAATAGTGCACTTGAAAAAGGAAGAGAGACTTCTGACAAGAGGGTCCAGGAGGCCTGGGATGAGGGAGGGAGGAGAAGATGGGTGGGGAGGCAAGGGATGGAGGGGATGAAAGGACAGCTCTGAGTCTCCTGGCAGTACTCTTGATCATCTTTCTCTCCTTGGGGAACATAGGCGAGATCTCTTAATCTCTGAATGATTGTTCCTTCATCAGAATACAGGGGAACAGTTTATGTCCAAGCATAAAGCTACTGTTGGGTTATTGCAAATGTCTGCCCAAAGGGTCTTAAAAGACACTTGTCAAAAAGACTGCCATACACTAAGGGTTCAGAATTCGTAATTCTGCATGAACTAATGATGCACTTTGGGTGCCATCTGTCCTGTGTGCAGCAGTGGGCATTGTGAGACTTGAGATGGGAACTCCTAGAAATGTTCCAGTGCAGAGGACATAATTGATTTTCTTTTAAGGATGCTGCTACCAGGTGAACTGCTCTTTCCACCTCTGACATCCACATGGCCCTTCTTCTTCTTCTTCTTTTTTTTATGATACTGGGGTTTGAACCCAGGGGCACTTAACCTCTGTGCCAAATCCCCATCTGTTTGATACTTTATTTGGAGAGAGTGTCTCATTGACATGCTTATGGCCCTGCTCATTTGCTGAGATTGGCATTGAATTCACAATGCTCCTGCCTCAGCCTCCAGTGATGCTGGGATTACAGGCATGTGCCACTGCACCAGGCCCCAGTGAGGCCCTTCTTCTGAATTTAGGATATTACCAGCACAGAGCCATTAAGCTCAGAGCTCAGACACAAATGCAGACAAATAAGCTGGGGAAGAGAACTAATTTGCATGCAATGCTCCTCCTTTCTCTAGCTACAAGAAGACAAGATAAAAGGGAGCCTTACCTAATCTAGGCCCAGCTGGGCAGCCTCAAGTCAGAGCATTTGGTAGCACCTACCCACTATGGAGTGGCTTCACTTTTACCTCCTGCTCCTTGTTTTCTCCACAGGTCAGAGCATCCCAAAGCCATCTGGGGACCCTCTCTGTATTTCCCTCCAAAGATCCCAAGGGGAGGTATTTCCATTCTTTTAAGCACTCAGTATCACCATGTCTTTGGGCCCTGCCTGTGCTGACCCACTCACCATCTCCATCTGCCTCCCTGGGAGCCTCAGCCACACTCACCTGCACCCTGAGCAGTGAGCACAGCAACTACTTCATTTTCTGGTATCTGCAGAGGCTGGGGAACAGCCCCCAGTATATAATGAAGGTGAACGGTGATGGCAGCCACAGCAAGGGGACTGGGATCTCTTATTGCTTTACAGGCTCTAGTTCTGGGGCTAATCGTTACTTAATAATTGCCAACATCCAGCCTGAGTATGAGGCTGATTATTATTGTGGAGAGAGTCATACAATTGATGGCCAGAGTGAGTAGGCCACAGTGACACAAGGGAAGGAGAAGTGGAGGCAAAACCTCTGTGTCTCCCCTCTTCCTCCTCAGTGACTTGGAGTTATAGCCCCATGTCCCTCTCCGGAACCCTGAGTCCTGTGATTTTTCTCCTTGCAAACTCCTGTATTCTGTAACTCTGCTTCAAGGACATTCCTAAGGAGAGACAACTTGGGTCATAATTTAGGTCATTTTGACAACATAATGTTAGGTTTTGTTCACCACCATCCAGTGGGGGCAATTCTGTGAGAGATGAGACCAGCCCAAGGAAAAATTTTCCTTGGGAAAATGGCTGAGCTGAGATGTTCCTGTGTCCCAGACTACCATTAGGCTTTAAGATCCATCTGTTTAAGGGACCCTGATAAAGGTTTCCATTGGTGAAAATCAAGGTTGGCTGTGAGTATGGCAGTGCCTGGTCACCACTGAGTGCAGCAGGATCCTGTCAAAACTGAGGATTGTAAACCAAGAAATGATAAATAAGGTTAACCTTAAATTAAAGATTATACCCAGTTACAGAATGGATTTGCAAACTGAGAGATACAGTTTCTGTTAGAAATCAAACAATGGAACCATCGAGGTAAAGGCAGACTGGGGTTTATAAAAGGGGGTGGGATCAACAGATGAAGCAACTTGTTTTGAACGACCCAGATCATTACAAACACAAGGTTCGTTTGGAAGACTTTGGATTTGTTATGAGGTTATGTTGTTATGAAGTTCCTTATGCTTTGTTGTTATGGGGACCTCATAGGGGGATTACAGTAAGCTGTACATCTTTTAAGAAATAATATCAGCACAAGCCTTGGGAATAGAATCTGTCAGAATCAGTAGCCTTGTGAGCAAAATTTTTCCCCCCAAAAAATGTTATTTACCAAGACACTCAATCAAATGTTTTCATCTATAAAGAAAAGGGCAATCTGTCAAATTTTGACCTCTGAGTCCCACACTTCTCAAAAGCCCTTGATTTTAAGTAAAGAGATTCTAGAACTTAAATGCTAACCCAAAGAAGCTGTTGAGGAAGTCTGCTGCTCTCTGGATGCAGCTGTAGCTTCCCAGCTCCTCCCTGAATATAGAGGGTCAATTTCAGACAGTCAAATTGCTCCCCTCTCCTGCCACCATTCACACATAAGAAGCAAGGAGAGGACAGTGGCAGAGGCAGCAGCAGGTGAGTTGGGGGGTGGGGATATTCAATCTTTGGGAAAATCATGAGGGAAAGGGAATTCTGATTGGTTTCCTTTCTATGTGTGCTGCAGTGAGGATGGATTCAGATGTTTCAGGCTTGTGAGTTCCTCCTTTGGGAGAGCTGGGAGATGGACTTCAGAAAGAGACACTCTTTCCCCATCTCTTTAACACAACCTGAAACAGGCAATGGGAACCTTCTCTTCTTTTCCCTGAGAACTTGATGTCCTGAGAAGGGGGAGGTTTTATGAGCCTAGGATAGTAGTACCCTAGAGATAAATATCCTCACATGGCCCAAGTTCACACATCTCTCATATCAGCACACCATGGAATCCTGGGAATATTAAGGGAGGTTTTAATACATGCCAGAAAGAGAAGTCCCAACTCTCCAGGGGGAAGGATGTGCTGAATTCAAGTACAACCTAGAGTAACTCACAGCACAGTTTCAGCTGTGATGGCTATGGCTTCCTGAGAGACTCGTGTTATCACTCCACCAAAAACATCTTCTCTAGGGCTTGAACAAAGCTGCCACATAGCCTGTATTTCCCTTCACAATTCCTTAGTTAATTGTTTTAGGAATTAACTTTCAGGGTACTTACATAAGGACAAATTGTTAGGGGGAAAATTTTTAAACAGTAAACACAGAACTTACCTCTAGCTCCATTATGTCTCTATTAGTACTGACATCTCATGGAAATGGGGACACACATGAAAGAAAATCATACTCTGCTCACAAAGTACTGAAGATCACACTTTCATATAGTAGTTAGAAATTCTTTACACAAGTAATGAGAAACTAAGTCAGGTAGACTCTTAATGGGGAAATTCCTTATTCCTAGACAACCCTTCATGTTTTCCCTCAGGACAAAGATCACAAAAAGGCTGCTCTAGTTGATTAAAATCTAGAGTATTTATGCTGGCAGATTTTGAGCAGCAAAAGGGTGCAGATTTGGCCACCCCCCCCCCAGTCCCTGAGCCACCCAGGGATTGATTTGTGTAGTGCCCCATAGGCAGAGTGATGAACTGATGGGCAGCAAAAAACTGTGTATTCAACATATATATACCCTGGCTGAGCCTACATGTGTTTCCTTGCTTAGTCAAAGTGATAGTTGTCAGTCTTGGACTTTCTAGGTCTTGCTTATTGTTCTATTTTAGGCATTTTGGGCACTTATTATTCATTCTTCTGGCTCCCTGTGGCTCAGATCTAACTATGAAGAAGTTGTCTGTGATCTGGTACACATCCAGGCTCCCTGTTTCCCCAAAGTCTACCCATTTGGCCTGAAACTGTCACTATTCATAAACAACTGGGCATCCTGCATTAACAAGTGTCCCACTTTCTTCTGCTCCACTCCATGATCTAAGTTTAATGCCAGACTTTGCATATTCTCATTCTCCAGAAGCTCCCTCACCTTCCACTCTACCTGGTCTATGACTGTTTCTCTCTTAGGGACAGCTACCAAATTTTCTTCTATGAATTCTTATTGTGGTGCATACCCGAGAATTACTTATTAACTTGTGTAGACTTAATTGAGTTTGTTTGTTTTGCAGTGTAATCATTGAACTCCAGGGATTCTACCACTAAAGCTATATTTATAGCTCCATTTTCTTTTTCCTGAATTTTGACAAAGGGTAGCATTCAGTTGCCCACAGTGGCCTTGAACTTGTGATCTTCCTGCTTCAACTTCCTGAGTACCTGGGATTAGAACATGAGCCTCTATACCTGGCTGAACATTTTCCTCCATTTGTTAGATTTTCCCCAGCAAAGGAAAAAAAAAAAACTTAATTATACTTAACACTTACATGAAGAGATCCTTGAGTTTCCAGACTGCTAGAACTTTCTTCTAGATAACCATTTCTATCACAATGTGACCTGGTCCTGGCCATGGGTGCACACTAGAGATACCTGGGCAAAACTTACCAAGGGCCCCAAGAGCTCACAGAGAAAGACAGAAACATACCACATTTCAAGTACCTTTAAACACTCCAGGTTCATTTGGCAATGCAGGGATTTTACCCTAGCTCTCCACTGCAGCTGTGTGATCTTGGACATGATCCTGCACTGTGTAAGACTCTTTCTGCACATGTAGTAGTATTGGGAGAGTTGCCATATTCAGTTCTGTGAAAAAAAAACAAAAAAACAACATTTAAAATGCAGCTAAAACTGACTTGATATCTGGACTGTGCTGGAAAACATTTATAAACAGGACACCCTTGCAGGCTCAGATCACAATTAATCACCTTCCTCCTGAGGCAGGATGAATTACAGGAATGCCTGGGATTCATTCCAGGATAATTTAAAAGTTAGCACTGTGTCTTTCAAGCTACCTGTTGAATAGAACCAGGATCATACCATGGGCAGAGTTTCAGACTAAGTTGAAAATTCAGAGACACTCACCTCTGACCTCTGCATGGTGAGGACAGCATAAGGGCAAGGCCAGGAGAGAGTGCAAGGGTGAGATGCCACTTAGGCAATGAAACCAGCTAGTGAAGCACTTCCCCTGGGCTGCAATTCAGTCTGCAACTTTACTTCTCCCCTCCATTCATCAGAGGCTGAGACCTGATACTCTACAAAACTCCTCCAGCAGCTGAGTTCAGACTGATTTGCATTTTGGGTAGCATTTCTCAGATAGGCACAGGAGAAGCCTGAGATGAAGCCAGCGTGGTCTAGGACTCAGCAAGTGATATCTATGGAGGCTCAACATGGCATGGACCCAACTTTTCCTGAGCTCCAGGATCAATGAACAAGGTGCTTTTAAAAAAACCCTACTCTCCCACACAGCCACAAGTTCTGGTACTGCCTGGTCCTGATTCTGAGCTCAGCAGGTCCCTGTCTTTGGTAAGCAGGATGCTCAGGAACCTGGTGCAGGATGGGAAGATGCAATTCTGAAATCCCCATGCTATGCTCCCAGGTTTGTGTGAGTCTAAGGGATACAACTGCCAGGAATCTAGCACATGTTTACTCAGGTATTGAAAAGCTCAATCTTCAAATGAAGCCCATGAATCAGTGGTGCTGAGATTCTTGGGCACTGTAGGCACAGAGATCCATGGAACTCAATGAGACCTTGGAGAGGGAACTGTTGGGAATGTTAATTCTTATGTCTACAACACTCTTTTTTTCTCCTTGCAGGCCCTGTAGCATTTGAGGAAATGAATAAACAATTCTCCATTTAAGTGGACCCACAGCAGACAGCCAGGATCACCTACGGGGACAACAGCATTGGCAGCTCTGCTGTGAATTGGTTTCAGCATGAATGAGACCAGACCCAAAGATGATCATCTATGGTGATAGTGTAACATGACTTCACTTCATGCTTTGAATATATCCCTTGATGCTCTTCCTGTGCATTAAAAAAATAATAATAACTGTGGGAAACCAACCTTACATGTGACCGAGTCACACTCCCCGACTGGGTGCTGAGGTGCTAAGTCACAGAAATGTGGCAGAGCTTTCCGCACCCTTCTTGGATTTGAGGGTTGATGTCTCGTGCATGGGTGAAGCTACGCTCACCTGTTCCTTTGTAATATAACCCGTTGCCCTGTGTAGGATAGAATCTTCCATGGAAGTGCCTTGTGTGTGTCTCCTTCTCTTACTGTGCCCTTGGGTGTGGCCTACCCAGGTGTCAGTCAACCTGCTGACAGTGGACATCATGAAGATAGACTCAGCCCCCTGAAACCTGATGCCTTTCCTCATTTGAATAGCTTCTCCTTAATAAAAGGGGTCAGCGCATGCTCTGGCTCTCTCTCTTTCTGCAGACCCTTAAGGTCAAAGGAGCCGTCACAGCGACCCCAAAGAAAAAGGTATTTGTGTCTCT